TGATGATCTATTAAAAATCATCAAGATGAGTGATTACAATATTGTGGATCAGTTGTTGCAAACTCCATCTAAGATTTCCATTTTAGCTTTATTGATGAATTCTTCTGCTCATCGGGAATCTCTAATGAGGGTATTGGATTAGGCTTTTGTTGAAAGTGATATGCCCATAGATCAGTTCAACAGTGTTGTGGGGAATATTACATCTTGTAAAAATCTGAGCTTTTGTGATAACAAATTACCTGATGAAGGAAGAAACCATAATGTAGCTCTCCATATATCAATGAATTATAAGAATGACTCTTTGTCCAATGTGATTATTGACAATGGATCTGCTTTGAATGTTATAGTAAAAGCTTTTGATGGTTCAAGAAAGTCTGTCATCGAAGAAGTGGATTTACCTATTCACATAGGTCCACACTTATTCAAGATTACCTTTCAAGTCATGGATATTATCCCAGCCTATAGTTGTTTATTGGAACGACCTTGGATCCATGAAGCAGGAGCTCTTACTTCAACCTTGCATCAGAAGCTGAAATTTGTTCGTGAAGGAAAGGTAGTCATTATGAACGGTGAGCAAGCTCTGTTGATATCTTATTTGTCTTCCTTTAGCATTGTAGAAGTTGATGAAGATGCTGTTGGAACTCAATTCCAAGCTTTATCTATTGACAATATAAGGAAGAGTGAATATTTTATCACCTCATTTAAGGATGCGCATCAGGTAGTGCATAAGGACCCTAGCAAGGTGTGGGGGCAGGTTATTAATCCACCGGTGAACATGAATGAGACTGGTTTGAGTTTCTCCATGAAGAAGGAAGTTGTGAAGCCGAAGTCCACTTTGAGTAAATATCAAGACATCTTCACAGTGCATGATATCTTCATCCGACTACTCCAAGGATCAACGCTATTCTTGAAGATGAGTCAGAGCAAGAGATGCCGAACTTCGTGACACATGGATTCAGAATCCAAAATTGGATCACTGTTGATGTTCCTTCTTGCATTCACATTTTAAAGTAATTTTTTTTGTTAGTGTTTTCAAAAGTCTTCCACTCTGCCCAAGGTGGAAGTATTGATTGTATGAGCGTGTCTTTTGTTTTGAATTTTAATATCATTAATAAAAGTTGTTTTTGATTCCCAAATTATGTCTTTATTTTCTTCTTTTTCTTGGAAAACGGTAATTAGAAAAAACCTTTCGAAATAAATATAAACTGTAAATAAATCTGCATAATCACTTGTTACATGTGTCAGTTTCTAAAATCAATCATAAATCATATGTGATATTAATTAAAAAACCTGTTGAGTGCAATGATCCTGCACCCTCTCCCAACTTTGAATATCATGTGTATGTGGCTAAAGAAGAGGAATATGATGAAATCCCAGAAGATATTTCACGGTTGCTTGAGCACGAGGAAAATACTATTCAGCCGTATAAAGAGTCGTTGGAGACGATTAACTTGGGTTCAGAGGAAGATCCAAAAGAAGTCAAGATTAGGGCACTACTTCATCATGATACCAAGAGCAGGTTGATCGAGTTGCTGAAAGAGTATAATGATATATTTTCTTGGTCTTATCAAGACATGCCTGGTTTGGATATCAATATTATGGAACATTATTTGTCGCTAAAGCCAGAATGTCCACCAATAAAAAAGAAGCTGCGAAGAACTCATCTTGACATTGAAACAGATTGATGTTGGTTTCCTAGTGACATCACTGTACCCTTAGTGGATTTCCAATATTGTTCTAGTACCAAAGAAAGACAGAAAAGTCCGCATGTGCGTTGATTATAGAGATTTAAATAAGGTAAGTCTGAAAGATGATTTCCCATTACCACATATTGATATGTTGGTAGATAGTACAACAAAATTCAAAGTGTTCTCGTTCATGGACGGATTTTCCGGATACAATCAAATTAGAATGGCTCCTGAGGACATGGAAAAAACAACATTTATCACACCCTGAGGAAGATTCTGTTACAGAGTGATGCCCTTCGGGTTGAAGAACACTGGTGTAACGTACCAGAGGGCTATGACAACCCTATTCCATGATTTGTTGCATAAGGAAATTGAGGTATATGTTGATGATATGATCGCCAAATCTCAGACTGTGGAAGGGCACATAGAAGACTTGTTGAAATTGTTTCAGCATTTGAGGAAATGTTGTCTCCGCTTAAATCCAAATAAGTGTACTTTTGGTGTTCGTTTAGGAAAGTTGCTAGGTTTCATTGTTAGCCAAAATGGAATTAAATTTGATCCTGATAAAGTTAAGGCAATTCAAGAAATGCCTTCACCAAGAACTGAAAAGCAAGTTAGTGGCTTCCTTGGACGTTTGAATTACATTTCCAGATTTATTTCCCATATGACTGCAACATGTGAACCATTCTTCAAACCGTTGAAGAAGGATTAAGGTTGTGTATGAACAGATGACTTCCAAAGGTTATTTGGAAGCATTAAAGAGTATTTCCTTGAGCCTCCTATCTTGCTCCCTCCTATTGAAGGAAGACCATTGATTATGTATCTGATTTTATTGGATAATTCCATGGGCTGTATTTTGGGACAACAAGATGAAACTGAAAGAAAAGAATATGCCATTTATGATCTGAACAAGAAGTTCACTGGATGTGAGTCACGGTATTCTATGCTTGAAAAAACATGTTGTGCTTTGGCCTAGGAGGCAAAGCAATTGTGCCAATATATGTTGAATCATACTACTTGGTTGATTTCCAAAATGGATCCAATTAAGTATATTTTTGAAAAGCATGCTCTTACTGGAAGAATTGCCCGATGGAAGATGTTGTTATCTGAATATGATATTGAATATCATACTTAGAAGGCTATTAAAGGCAGTGTGTTGACAGAGTACCTTGCTCACCAAATCTCGAACCCCGGTGGGGTATGGTGTTTGATGGAACTGTAAATGCTTATGGAAATGGAATTAATGTTGTTATTATTATGATACGGTGGCAGAACCGACTATTTACTGGTTTTGCATTTGTGTTTGCAAATGTTGCGGTATAAAAGAGTCGACACCGAATTTTCTTTTATCCAACAAAGGAAAGGATGAAAAGAACAGAAAAAGACCTTTCGAGAGTTTTCTGAGTAAGAGGGGTAGATTATGGAAATGGAAGGTGTTAGCACTCTTTCCATCCATAGTTATCTACGGGCTCTTAGATGCTAGCTCATTTGAAAAAATATCTTGTGCTTTGTGTGTTTTTGAAAAATATTTCGAAAATGCCTTAGTGCGGAGATTTTGTTTATGATAACTCTTGTATCAGTCCTCAAGAGTGTTGATAAAGAGTTTGAAAATATTTTGAAATGTTTTTGTATAGGTGTAAAAAGTTTGTTTGAGCAAGCATATAACAACTATCTACTTTACTCGAAAGGATCGTTCTTTTCCTCCTTTCCTTTGGACTAGCCTATTCTACTATTAGTGAGTAGGTAGTCATAGTTGTTTGGATATATGAGGTACATTTGTGGGTAATCGTACATTCATAAAGGCAACATATAAAGATACTTTAGAAATTTTGTTTAAGGGACTAGATCATTTACCAAAAGACAACACCGTAGGGTCATCGAGGGACTATGATCTTTTGATTCGAGGGTCTTTGCTAAAGCGTCCCTACTTTCGAGGGACATGACTGTTTTATTTTCCGAAGGCAACCAAAGTGAGAGTACCCTAGAGGTGTATATGTGAAAGTGTGTTATCTTCAGTTATTTTTGTCTTTGATGTTAGGTTTGCTAATGTTTGATTACTAGTCTTATCATGCAATCCTATTAACATACATCTAACAGTTAATATGTATATGGATTTAAAGTGTGAAAATTTAAATTTATGCTATTATAAGGCTTCGGGGAGGGGATTATTACCCGTCCAAAATGGGGAGATAAAAGCAGTAAATGTCCTAGTTATTCTATTACAACTCATGAGCAGGTACACTAATAATAAAAAATGCGAGATTTAAAATCAGCGCGCGAATTGAAAATACGCCTAAAAATCCTAAGGTAAAAGGAAATCTTTTTATCGTTTTATTTAGAAAAGAAAAGCAAAGCCTAAGTCTACTTAATTTTAATTTAAATAAAATGTTAAAATAATCAATTAATTTATTTACAAAATTAAATTAATTAAAAAATACTAACCTAATATTTTTTGTGATTTTTATTTATTTTGTACTGATTAAGCAAAATTAAACAAAATTAAAAGAAGTAGATAATAAAAACAGAAATATAAACGGGCCTAATAGCAAAAGAAGTAAAGGGGGTATGAAGTGAAATTCACTGGGCCCAAGTTAGAGAAGGCCAGATCTGCCCTTGGATTCAGTGGGGAGGCCCCCAAGAGAGTCCATGGTGAGACTGTGTGCTCAGGGCGTTGGATCCGGATCAGATATGCATCTGATGGCATGGAATTGATGGTGTATGGTGAACATAATACATGACTTGGGTATCGAACCCATGTCCTTTCGATTGCATATATTCCCTTTTACCATCTGAGTTGTTGGTCAATTGTTAGTACAAATAAATTCATAACATTCCATTAGCAAACGAATTATATATATATATATATATATATATATATATATATATATATATATATATATATATATATATATATATATATATATATATATATATATATATATATATATATATATATATATATATATATATATATATATATATATATATATATATTCGAAATCCTCACATGCATGCTGCACAAGCCAAAAGGACAGGGATGCCAGGATTGAGATTCGAAGGAATCTGTTTCATATGCCTTAACAAAGGTATCCTGTTACTTAATAATCACAAAAGTCATGCAATAATCAAAATTAAAGTACACATGAGATGAATTTAAGATCGAAGGTTTGTTACCAATGAGATGTTTTGTTTTGGATGGAGATGGCTTGCAAAGTGTGCTTCGATTTTGGCAGCTTTGGTGTAGTTCTTGCAGCCTTCGTGTGGCTCGTACGGAGAAATGTGTGTATACCTGGAGGCAAGGTTTTCGCCTGGCTAATGCGTGTATAGGCCAAAATGTTTCCGTGGGAAGTCAACCTGCAATTTCGATTGGTAATAAGTATTGTATGTGATGCAGCGTCTGGCTGGTGGTGTGAGTGTGACAAGAGTGTTTTTTTCTTTTTGATTTTTTCTCCACCTCTGACAATGTATCCTTAGGCCTATATTTATAAGGATGTGATATGCATGAAAATGTCAAGGGATAGCCATTAACTAGGCTTTGAAGGCAAAATCAGACACATTAAAATATTGTCATTTTTTATGAGTTCCTACCCCTTTGAACTTTGGGGTGAACCTGAACACATTTGACTCCTTCGAATACCCTCAATCTTTGCTCTTCGATTGTCCCATGGTTGCATCCTTCGAATGGCTCCAATTCTCATCATTAGAACTTCTACGATTGATCCCCTACTTGTCTTGGTAGCTTAATTTAAACTCTTCAACTAGCCCAAATGAAAGCTCCTTTCTGGCCAGTCGAAACTTCTCTTGTTATGAATGTACTTGTACAGGAGACTTGAGCCTGACAGCATGTAGGACCTTGGCCAGCAAGCATCTTGGACCAAGACCTATAAGAAGACAAAACAAACTTGTTTCCCACAATTATGTGTCCTTCGAATGGATCACATATATGTCCTTCAAAGACACTATTTGTGTGTCTTTCGAATGAACCAAATGTATGTCCATCAAAGGAACTTTTGGAATGTTTCTTCGAATGGACCTTACTAGGTGTCAAAATATGGAAAACTGAGTGTTGAATATTTTAGAGGTTGAATCGAAGCAAACCGTTTCAAAGGGAGCCATTGCAAAGTCGAAGCTAACACAAAGGAAGCCAATGCCTTGTACAGAGTTTCCTTCTCCTCCAAATGAACACAACCAGGCCAATCACAAACATATAAACAATCGTCACGGTACTGTCTCCCAAATGAACCAGTAACCTTTCTTTTCTTAGATTCAACCGGAACATCAACAACTCCAGCTCGAATCTCTTCATGGGTAGGTTCTTCTTGATGGAATTCAGAATCTGCATAGAGGGTATCATGATAAAGATCGTCGTAAAGTGACCAAATGGAAGAACATTCATTAGGTTCATTAGGTCGAGAAGATGAAGATGTTGTCGGTATTGGCACTGTTGCTGTGGTGGTGGTGGTGTTCGTCGGGGAAATCAGCCGTGTTGTTGAAGAGGATACCGGCGTGAAGAGGACCGGGACAACAGAAAGAGAGTTTATGAAGAGAGTGTTCTTGTGATGAACAAGAGAGAAGCTCTGAAGGGATGATGAGTGAGGTTTTGTTCTTCCAGCAGAAAGCATGGATGAGAGAGTTGAGCTTTGAAGAGACGCAAGAGAGACGAGCCCAGTCGCGAGGGTCTTCTTCAACCTTTCATAGTATGTTGAGAATTATGTCGTCGGCTAATTCCGACAACATTTCTTTTGGTTTGAGATTCTTGTTTCTGAACCACAAGAATTGTCCAGGAACTGGTGTTGGAAATGTGATGTGGTTGCGGTGTTGGGTTGGTGTATTTATATATTTAATATTTTAATCAAATTTTACCGACACAAGATAAGAATAATGTTAGTAAAAATTATTTCATTTTTCTGTTTGTGCTTAAAAAATTATTTATTTCAAATTTTGTCTAAAATTGAATTTGTAGTCAAATTTTACCTACCTCAATGTAAATGTAGTAGTCCAACCGTATATTTAAATAGGATTGGTTCAATGAATTTTTATTTTATTTTTTTGTTATAAGGTTCAATGAATCTCTTCTACCAATCATTCTATAATTCATATAGAATTTATTTTGGTTTTTTTATAACTTTTTTTCGGTGAAAATTGTTTTGTTGAAAGTTCCTGTAGATGAGAGTTTTTTTAAATTTATACTTATTCATTTAAAATCACAATCTTTTTTTGTAATTAATAATTTTTTAAATAAAAAGTTAATCAATTTTATATATTAAATATCAATACAAAACAAATAACAATAGCGTCTTAAACCAATTACACAATATAGAACATATTCAAACCTAAGGCATTTCACTTATTTCATTTGGCCTTAAAAATTATACAATTAAAATATCATTCAGTTTAAAAAATATTTTGTATTATATAACTTGATCATTCATTATGATGAGAAGAGTAAAAGAGGTAATACGTGATTGCAACTATAAATTTATGAAACCAATTTATCAATTTATTTTGTTGTGCAATGGTATACTACAGATTCACAACATACAAGCATCAGTTATAATAAATGAAGAGGTTTATTTATCTCAATCTTCAGATCTTTTAACAAGTTCAGAATCTACACAGCTTAATATGCAGTCAGAGCACCTGCAATATATTCAGCTTCACAAGTTGACAGAGCAACAACATGTTGCTTCTTAGAACACCAAGAAATAGGACCTCCCAGAAATTTGAATAAGTATTCAGAAGTACTTCTTCTGTCAACTCTATCTCCGCACCAATCAAAATCAGAATAATTCAGAAGTTCTGATTCGATCTTTCTTCCAGACGGAAATAACACTCCATATTTCATAGTTCCCTTCACATACCTCAGAATCCTGTTGCAGCTTGGTAATGAGACCACTTTGATTTGCTCCTAAATCTGCTAACCATTCCAACTGCATAGCAAATATCAGGTCTGGTATTACACAAATACCTTAGAGAACCAACCATCTGTTTGAAGGTTGTAGTATCCACATCCTCTCTATCAGAATCAAAGTCCAACTTCTGATTCGTATCAGCAGGTGTGATAGCAACGTTACAATTTCTAGCTCAAATCTCTTCAGAAGCTCTAGTTCATACTTCATCTGATGCAAAATGATTCCTTTCTCAGAGTACATAAATTCCATCCCTAGAAAGAAACTCATTTTTTCAAGATCTGTCATCTCAAATGCATTCATCAGAACTTTCTTGAACTCAACTATCTCTTGTTCAGAACTTCCTGTGAGTAATATGTCATCAACATACAAACAGACCAGAATCATATTACCTTCTAAAATATGCTGAACATAAACACCATACTCCATCTCACACTTCTGAAACCCTTGTTCCTTGAAAAACAAATCAATCTTCAAGTTCCAAGCTCTGGGCGTTTGCTTCAATCCATACAATGCTTTGTGTAATTTGAACACTATCCCTTTCCGATTCTTTTTCTCAAATCCAAGAGGTTATGAAACGTACACCTCTTCTTGTAATGGACCATTCAGAAATGCAGATTTTACATCTAAATGCATCAGAGGCCAATTCCTGTTAGCATCTATTGCGATCACTAGTATGATTGTTTCATGTCTCGCTACAGGTGCAAACACTTCAAAGTAATCCAACCCAGGCTTTTGTAGGAAGCCTCTTGCTACTAATCTCGCTTTGTGTTTGCCAATTGATCCATATGGCTTTAGCTTCTGCTTGAAAACCCATCTGACATTGATGGCTTTCTTGCCTTTTAGAAGTTCTGTCAGCTTCCAAGTCTTGTTTCTCTTTATAGCATCAAGTTCTTCTTTCATGGTCTGTAATCAACCTTGCTACTTAAGAGCCTCTTTCATACTCATGGGTTCAAAGTCTACTAACATTGCACACTGAATAACTTCTCCTTCAGAGTTTACTTCAGTGTCTAGCAACATGTCAAACTCTGTAAATCTTCTTGGGATGCTTCTGACTCTTTGTTGCCTCTGAACTGGACCTTCAGAACTTTGGATACCAGAACTCCCCCCTTCATAAGATCTTGCTTCAGAGTTTTGACTTTCTCCAGAACTTTGACTATCTTTAGAGTCTTGAAAATTCCCAGGATATGAATCATCATCAGAGTCAGAGCCACTGCCTTCAGAAATACCATCTTCAAAAGTTGGATCACCTCTGCCTTTAGAAGTTCCACTTTCAGAATCATGATCATTGTCAAAGGCTGAATTTCCTTCAGAAGCTCCTCCTTCAGAAGTTCCACTTTCAGAATCATGATTTCTATCAGAAACATGATCATCTTTAGAAGCTCGTCCTCCAGAACCTACGCCTTTAGAGTTTTCCCTTCTAGAAGCATGATCACCACCAAATTCTGGATCATCATCAAAATTTCGATCAGAATCAGATTCACCTTCAGAGTTTCCAGAGTCATCATCTTCTGACTCTTCTTCAGAAGCAGAATCTTCTTCAGACTCAGAATCACCTTCAGATTCTGACTTGTCTTCAGCTTCAGAGTCATCTTCTGACTCTAACTCGTCTTCAGAAACCTCAGATTCTGACTCATCTTCAAAATCTTCAAAGTCTCCATCTGATTCTAACTCAGAGTCATATTCTGATTCTGACTCATATAAAATAACTCCTTCAAAATCAGAATATTCAGAGTTATATTCTTCTTCCCCTTCAGAATCAGAAAATGACAATTTCACTGGTTCCTCATCAGATTCATAAGCCATAAATAGCACAGGTTCATCATCTGAATTTCACCTGGCTACATTTGCTTCTTCTGACTTTCTTTCTTTGTTTGACCAACAATCTTTGGTATAGTGACCAAAGTTCTTGCAATAGTAACACTGAATGTTCTTCTTGTCAGACTTCTCCTTTCCCCTCTGGACATTCTTCTGCCTATCAGAGTTTGAAGCTTCTGACTTTTGACCATCATTAGTTCTCTTCCTGGCTTCTGACCAAGTCTGCTTCTGATTCTTCTTACCAGAAGTTACCTTCAGAGCCTACTGCTCTACTTCTCTCTCATAAATTCTTGCAGTCATACGCAACTCATGCGCCTATAGACTACTTTGCAGCTCTTCAACTCTCATGGTGCTCAGATCTTTGGAATGTTCAATTGCTACCACAATGTAATCAAACTGAGAAGTTAAAGATCTCAAGATCTTCTCAATGACTGTTTGTTCAGAAAGGGTTTCTCCACAAGCTTTCATCTCATTAGTGATCAGAATCACTCTAAAAATGTACTCAAAAACCTTCTCGTTGTCCTTCATGTTAAGATTCTGATATTGCTTTCTGAGAGACTGAAGCTTCACCTTCTTCACTGATGCGTCACCACCGTAACATCTGACCAGTGTGTCACACAATCTTTACTGTTTCAGAATCAACAATCTTCTCAAACACATTCACATCCACACATTGATGGATGTAGAACAACGCCTTCTGATCTTTCTTCCTCAGCGCCTTCTGTGCTATCTTTTGGGCCTCTGTTGCATCTGCTTCTAACAGATTATAGCCATCAGTGACAAGTTCTAACACATCGCATAGTTTTCCCAAATCAATATTTTCTCAAAAAACCCTAGAATAGGCACATTGATACATAGTGTAGGACTAGACACATTTGTGAGAGATACATCACTTGTCCACATAAAACCTTAAGGTGATAAGTGAGTGAGTTCTCCCACTTATATATGCTTAAGTCTCCACATTCTTATTCAATGTGGGGCTATTTTCCCACTTACTCACACTTGCTATATTATTCCAACAATATTCATTCATCCTTTTATTTTTCTATTTTTTTTTCTATTTTAAAAATTACCTTTATAAAAAATTAAATTAAAATAAACAAATTCAGCCTCTTCAACAAATTACCTTTATACCTCATATTCTTTATCCTCCAACAAATTCAAAGCCCAACAAAATAACGAGAATATGAAAATCTAAATTAAATTCTTTTTGATTTACACGTACCTACCTACCACGCATCTAGAAGGAATAAAGGATTGTCACTCATGATATAGAAGGAAAGAATTAGACGGAATAGTTTCCACCCAAAAAATAAAACTTTTTTTATAGATTTGATAGGAGAAATAAAAGAGTAAACTTATATGAATCAATTTTATTAGGACGAGTTTGCAATCTAATAACTTCAGCATAGCTTTTGATCAATCATTTTTCTATATCCCTTTTGCTTCACTTTAAATTCAAATGAATAAAATTTATAAATAAAAGAAATAAATTTCAATACAAATGTAATAATTATCTTAAAATTTTGAACAATTTCATTTTAAAAGTGCAACACTCTTCCTATTATTGATTCCACAAAAAATAAAAACCAGTTTTTCTAAAAACTAAAAAATATATCAATGCCTGTCAAAAACAAATATATCAATCATTCTAAAATATTATAAAAACATTAAGGGAAAGCATGAAGTACAAGAAAAATATGATTACAACCGAGAAAGTAAATTTTTTTTCTTCACACTAGTAACAACTAAAATTAAAGTTTTCATTTAAGATATTAATTTAAAAAATACGTGGACAACACACTAGTAACAGTAAATGTTATCTATGGACCTTCGTTCTATTAAATTCAATTAATAAGATTTCATTAATTAATAATAATATTGAAATCAAAATATTCAAATTATTTTTTAAGCACCGTGCATAATCTAAGACACATAAATCAACGTTTAATTTAAAAAAAATTAAAACCATTTTACGTTTCCTACACGGTACACTAACAACAGTTATATTAGAAGCTCATTCCCTTTTAAATCAACTACCAAGTGCATGTTCAAACTTATAAAAGGAGAAGCCTATCTTTGTAGTTTTGGAATATATTAAGATAAAGAAATGGGTAACTGGTTGATTTTGGTGGTTTTGGCCCATGTTGTGGTAATTACAAGTGCAAGAATTGTGCCAATGGGAGAAAGGGTTTTAAAGAAAAACATTGTTGATGTTCGTCTTTCTATTAGTGGGGGACTATCTGGTGGAGTATCTGGAGGTGGTAACACTACTAGTGGTGGACTTTTTGGTGGATTTTCTGGGGGAGTATCTAGTGGACTGAATGGCAGTATTACTAATGGCGGTGGACAATTTGGTGGATTAAATGGAGGCGGTAATATTGCAGGAGGTGGAATATTTAGTAGACAAAATGGAACCGGTAATGCTACTGATGTTGGAATAACTATTGGTGTAAGAGGAGGCGGTAATTTTTCTGGTGGTGGTATATCTGGTGGATTAAACAGTGGACAAAATGGAGTCGATAATGTTATTGGTGATGGAATATTTGGTAGGCAAAGTGGAGGCGTTATTGCCACTAATGGATTGAGAGGAAGCAATAATCCAACTGGTGGTGGTCTTTCAACTGAATTAAATGGAGGAGGTAATGCTAATGTTGGTGGTAATTTTACAAGTGGGGAATATTTGTTGGACTAAATGAAGGCGGAAATGATACTAGTGGAGGCCGTTAATTCGGACTCGATGGTGAACCTTGAGTCACAAGTTAATTACCGTGGAATTTGCTTTTCTTAAAGAAATAAATAGTGTTGGGAGACTTGTTATTACAATGTTTTATAAATAAACTTATGTTGTAATGATATTTGTCCTTCTAACTATTACTAATATATGTCTATGTTTTTCTCTTTCTCTCAAACTTATTCATATTTAATTTAATGTTTTATATATTTTTAATATGTATGATTGTTTTGTTTGAAAAGTAAAAGTTTAAATGAAAAATGAAGAAAAAACTATTTAAATACTTGAATAATTCAACCTCTTATAATAAAATATAACATTATAACTTCTGTTACATGAATTTTAAAATGGAAATAAAAGAAATATATTTTTTCTCTTTTAATAGCAGGTTTTGTCTGAAGGCATATTAATTAAAAAAAAGTAATATTATATAATTTAACTGGGTTTTCTTTATTTTTTTTTTACAAAATTTACAAAATAATTTAATTTCTATTTCTAGTATAAATATATAAAAGTAGTTGCTGAAGAACTTCACGTAAACAATCATATCAAACTCGACTTTAAAGTAGTAAATTGGGGTATGTGTATGTGTATGTGTATGTGTATGTGTGTGCGTGTGTATGTGTGTGATTCCTTTAAATTATCCTTTACTAGATATCACTAACTTAATTATCATCATTTAAGTGAATTAAGAATGGTAGTGATAAAATTGAGAGTGATAATGACCCTTTAAAAAGAGCAATCACATAAGAGCAGTAAAATAGTCCTTTCATTAGAACAATACCAAAGTCCTAACATAACTTAGAAATACGAATGTGTGCAACTTGTGGAGAATATAAAGAGCTCAATAGCTTAAGAAGAAGTGGAAGATTCAAGCTGATGCTTGCATGTTTTCTAGAGAAGATATTGCTACAAAATTTCAAGTCAAATATAGAGCTTAAAATCCAATCGTTTATCCTTAATAATTGTCTTATTTAATTAAGAAGAAAATAGATAAGAAGGATTTTCTTTCTTTAAGTTATGATCCTTAATTAACATAAACCCTAAATTATGAAATGACGATTGCTTGTCGAATTCATACTTTGTTAATTGCTAAATGATGTGCTCATTTTGAATTTAAGTAATAACTAAGCTAATGGTCGTGTTTAGAATGCTAGATGACGGAAAAGATTGTAAGAGAGGTGATGATATTTGGGATTTCGAGTTTGGATTGGAAAAAACCATGTGTTGATGGGCATGCTACAATAATAAGGGATACTACGGCCAGATAAAGTGTTGGATTACAATCTCATATAATGGATTGTTCTGAGGAACCAATTGGGGGATGTGTGGTTTTATCCTAGGGTATATGTGATTCATTTTGGTTATATAGTAGTGGAGTATATTATTTACCCCTCTACCCAATTGGTGTAAATGGTATTCATCTTGTAGTTAGGTAAAGTTCATATGTATTGGGTCGTTCATTATAGGATATGTATCAGGAAGATGTAGGAAACTTAGGAGAATTGAGGTTTTAGATCAGAACCACCAATATTATTAGCTCATCCTCGTAGTTATATTATTTTATATATTATAAATCCATTTGGTTGGTTGTATTAGGTCAAACAACATATGTACAAGATGTATTTTAGGCAACATATGGAACAAGGTGTTCCAACAAATGTACCTATGTCTGAGTGTGATTGTGATTGGTGTTAAGAAGAGTTGCTTAGTTAAAGTGTTTGACAGAAACAGTTAATCAAGAGTTGTTTAGTTAAAGTGCTAGATCCAACCATTTAAGCAAGAGGTTTCAAGATTCGACTAAAGTGCTTAACAAAACTTGTTAAGTCATGGGTTCAACATGTGATTGTGTATCTTCCTTTCATAAGGGTTGGGTTCTGCCTATCATTTGATATATTCAGATTTCCTTCAAAAAAGTTGTGGTGTTGAATTCTTCAGAAGATACTGGGGTTTGCCTTTGTGAATAAGTTTGTGTTGTAAAGGTTTGGATTTGGTTTAGTCAATGAAGATTTGATTGGTTGTACCTTGAAGGAAGTTTTGGTCCAAGATTTACTCTATAAATAATACTTGTATGAAGAGAGTTATTTTGGATGCTCTGGTGTAACATGTAGAACAAGATGTTCCATCATGCGTGCTGCTATATTTGTTCTCTGTAAACAGACAAATGTTAGTGAACTTTTGGAAAAGAAATGTATGCTACAACATATGGTCTTTTACAATAGACATATGGTGTTACATTATTGGTTCTTATTTATTCTATCCAAGAGTCACTCTTTAAGAATATCTACAATTCATGGATAAGAGTTAATTTGGATGTTCTGGTGCAATATGATTTAACATGTTGCTTTAACATGAGTTCCATGCAAGATATGGCCCTAGACAGCAGTCCATCATGGATGTTGCTTGGTGCAAAAATTTTGATTGGGGTTTAATCAAATTTGTTTAGAAATGTTTGTGAGACTTATTTGACAATTGTTGTAGATAAAATCATATTTAAATGGAGATTTAAATTTGAATTTGATATATAAAAAATCATATGTTTTATTGGAGACTTTTATGGAGAAAATCAAATCCAACAATATCTTCTATTATTCTGGATGAGTGTAACCCATCTATCCAAGGAGAAAAATCCCATAAGACATTTTTATTTAAGGAGACTCAAACCTCACATTTGAGGTGTGCATGTTTTGAAGATTCTTTATGTTAGAATTTATCTTTAGAGTCTTCATTTGTGGTATCATTGTGCACCACTCTACCGCCTTTATTCATATCTTAAGGCGTATAGTTTGATTTGATAGTTGAGTTGTAAGACTTTGTTCCGATATACTAAGTCTATAAGCTTAAGAATAAAGTGTTTCTTTTATTCTATGTTAATGCCATCATAAGGGTTAATGTTGAATCTTTGTGTACACCACTCTATGTTTCAGTAAATTGGCATTGTTGTTGGTTCATCTTAGTTGAGTTGTAAATTCAATATTCAATAGATTTGTTATTGAAGACAATCACTAGGGGTCAATGATTGAGAGAAGGTGATATTCAGGGGGAGACTAGAAAGAAGCTTAACGAGTATTATTGGTAAAAGGGCCTTGAATTAGGAGTATTTAGAGTAAGTCCATTTTCCCTTCTAACTAATGGGAGTGAAATAGTTCTACAAGGATTCCTAAATAGAAAGTAAATAGGATTAGGAAGAGACATAGAACAACATGGGGTTGTTTTTTTTCTATAAGACTAATTATACTAATTCAATGTAAGGAATTTCCTTTCTTGGGTAGAGTTCCATCCAGACGTAGGTATTGCTTGCACCAAACTGAGTTACCAATATTTTGTGTTCTATATGTTCATTTTCTACTTCATCATCTTGTATAAGCTAAAACTTTATTCATCATTATCATATTGTTTATCGCGTTGGACTAGTTGTCACAACATCGTGTCCAACATGTGTTCCCTCGGGAACAAAATTACATATATGAACATGTATTATGAAAATATATTCAAAAGGCAACATAAAGTGAATGACTCATATTGTTACTTTTTTATTTTTATTTCCTCTGTGTAGTAACTACATTTGTGTAATTTATGATGTTTCTTTCTAGACACAATATCTTTTTTATGTATTAAGTTATTGTTTAAATATATCCTATAGCAAAGATTAACATTTCAAATTGTTATTCTAGTCATATAATGAGGTTTTATAATTTTGACATCATAGTTGGTCGGTACACGACCTAACCTAAGTTTATTGACAATATAGTTTAGTCCTTTATGGACGACGTGTATATGATTCTAGAGTATCATATTATTAAATATCCAGTTTGATCAACTTAATATTTATGTGTGGTAAGAAGAATGATATGGAAGAACCTCCACGAAGAGGATTAGTAAGGCATGCAAGGATCCAAAGGAGAGGCACCCCGGATAATCAAGGCGGGGGTTAGGATGGGGACCGTTGGGCTGACATGATATGTAAAAAAAGAGAAACATCAGTTGCATATGTTGAAAGGAAATCACTATACAAAGTGAAATAGAAAACAAAAATTTCCTTTTAGTTGATACTTGTGAATGATTCATGAATGGTGACAGAATTATTACCTCTTGTGGCCATTAATAACTTTGACGCAAAATCGAAGGATTGATCACGAGCATTGAATGAAGAACAACACCACTACTTAGTACACATGAACATAGTCCCTTTAATCTCAGTGCTAACTTCTACAAATGAAGACTTTGAGTGAGAAAGAAAGAGAAAACTTTCAACCAGGGTTTCACAAACCTAATTTCATTAAGTGTAAAAGCTTCTACACAAGGGTTCTATTTATAGAACAACTTAAGTGGGTTGCAAGCTAAAAATCCCACTTAAGTGCACTATAACTTATGTTGTATAATATTTCACTTAAGCGCATGATACCTTACCATATTTATTATTCCGGTTAAGTGTATCATACCTGTTGTACCCCAAAATTTTCCCTCTCATTTATCAAGTAATCTCTCACAAGATCTCCTTCGGTTCAATACTGCATTAGGTTTAATCAGCTCAAGACACCTCCTTAAGCACTGATGACCAAAATTTGGGTTTGAGATTGCACAAGGATAATTGAACTTTCAATGCTTCATATGACTTTCATGAATCATTATGGACCCCCAAGATTACTCATATCAAGTTTCAAGCCTTGGATCACACTTTTGCTCAGTCAATTGAGCAGTTGACCTAAAAATCAGTTGTATTGGGGAAAAAGTCAACTATGGCCAATTTACAGTCAAACTTCATAATTTTTTATCCATATCAATATTATAAACTCATATGTATCATTTTATCAAGTTTGGACCATAATTCCTCAAGAAATTTGATCAAATCATCAAAAGGGCAAAATGGTCAAAATTAGGGTTTTGACTGAGAAAGGGCAATTTCTGGTTTTTGACCTAGCAAATGGTCAATTGGTTTGAAGCATGGTTTCAAGAGTTCA